TGCACATACATAAGCATGTTTATATATGTGTACACACAGGTTTGTGGCATGTGGAGGCCTGCAGCCTTCCTCCATCGCTTTCTGTTGTATTCATGGAGACTCTCTCAATTGAACCCAGAGCTTTAGCTGATGAGTCTGGCTAACCAGCTAGCTCTGGGAATCTCACTTCCACCTTTCAAGGGTTAAATTACAGGCAGGCCGCCGCGTCACTTGGCATTGGTGTGGGTTCTGGAGATAGACCTGAGCTGTCTCCCCAGTCCCTAAGATAGCTTTTGAGAGGCGATGAGTTCCCTCATCACTGGAGGAAGGCAAGAGGAAAGTGTGGTTCCTGTCATGGTTGGGAAGACGAAAAATAAACTGAACAAGAGTGCCCCGAGAGCTGATGTCACCCCATAGATTCTACACAGAACCTTAGGTTGGTTTTGTGGCTAACTGTTTCTCGGCTGGGGATGAAGTGGCCCTGAGCGGGGACAAGGACATTAGTCACCAATGGGCCTTTGCTCCAGACAGGCCCCACTGCACCCACTGACTACCATCGCTGTGGTCCCTCAGCAAGGGCTACTGTCAGCCCCCTACAGCCGTGGAGGTGGGCACTGGAGAGGGGAGGCCACTTGCCAGGTAGCCCTGCTGACAGGCATGGCACCATTTCTGGAGCAAAGCTCTGCTCTGAACACTTGGGGTGTTGCCCAGACGCAAGCTCTAGCCAAGAAGACCACCCAGGGGTCACAGGTCGGGGTCGGCGCTGTGACAGCAGCCAGTGAGACAGATACAAAGACAAGGCAAGGGGTTACAGCCAGGGATGGAGAGGTTTCCTGTCCACGGCAGCTGCTCCCCTGCTCTCCCTGCATGTACCTCTCTCCCTCCCGCTCACAGACCACCAGTGCCCCTGTGCCTTTCGGGAAACCAGGTCCAAGGCTGTCATAACCTGCGTCAGAGGCAGTCTGCTTTGAACATGGACTGTGTGCTCCTCTCACCCCGTGTCCCCTCGCTGGTGGAGTCCTTCAGACCCCCATCATGGACCATCTCCGGGGCTGGGGTGGGGGGTGCCCGGCCTGGGCTCTCTGCTCACTCATTCGCTGCTTCCTCCCAGCCCACAGCTCCCCACTCTGCCAAATCTTACACCAAGTCTCCAGCTCCTGACTCGGTCAGGGATCTGCCTTCCATGTTTTAATCTTTTTATTTTTTT